TTTTACATGAAAATTGTCAATTAAAGGAATAAAATTTAATGGTATTAGGAATGCAATTTGTTTCCTTTGCCAAAAAAAGCCAAAAAACTATTTATCTTTTGATATTCATTTGGCTTTGTTTTACATGAAAATTGTCAATTAAAGGAATATATTTTTTTACAATTAGGGATAAAATTTATTTCCATTGCTTAAAAAAAACGAAAAAAAAAATTCATTACAGAACACCCTTAAAATTGGAAAATGGAAAATCTCTCCTATCAAACACACTCTTAATTTTTGGAGAACAAAAACAGGCTTTATGCATACAAGACTCCCCTAGAAAAGGAATAACAATTTTAAGAAGTGTGTTTTGATCGATGTTATAATGTTCCGATCTCGAAGCACCTAAGAATCGGGCAAGGATAACATGGTCTCGATCCCATCTTTCAAAATTTCACGTAGAGATCAAGAACATGGAAGGCCATCTCGACTCCAACATGCATGATGCTCGTCTCATTCCGTGGAGATTCTTTTAATGAATGTTTTATTTCTATTTTATATGTAAAAATTGAATTTTGAATCGATTCTTGGTTTTATTTATTGATACAAGATAGATTTTTTTACTATAAATCTACTTGAATGACTGAAATTTACAAAATACGTAATTTATTAATTTGCCAACCAAATACAATAAAAATGGGATTAATGATGAACTTGAATTTGAATGTATTGCTAATACAGAAAACTTACAGACATAGGATTCTATCTTATGTGTTTAGCCAAGAATAATTTTGAATTCTTGAATTTTTTATGTGTACAAGTTTATACGTGTTCCAAAATGCATTTAAAAATGGAACGGATTTCTATATAGAATAATATAAAGAATCTCTGCACTAATCTACATTTAAAATAAAAAATAAATAAATTATTCAATGCTTAGTTGTATGTAATTTTGTGTTTTTCAGAAGGGGGACAAAATATGCACCTTGTGATTCTATCCACTAATAAATTGTACTTGATAATTTATTAAAGGCATATTTCCTTAATTAAATAACTTATAAGAATTTTAGTAAAAAGAACTTCTCTTATTAATGTTATGTTATAATCAATTGAAACGTCAACTTCTTCTCCATAATATTAATCATTCAGTATTTCTTCATTAAAAATAAATTAATATCCAAATCAAATGAAGCCATGGACAAGTTAATATATTTCATCTTACTATTATATTTTTATTTTTTTTGGAACTAGGATTAATCATTTTTTGGTTATGTGACTACCTGTGACTGCCACACCAGATTGATCTAGTTGAACACTAAACGAACTCAATCAGAAATAGTTTGATTCTAAATAAATAATGAAGTGTCGGGGAACCTCGCATCAAAAATATTCTAAAAGGTATTTTTTAGACACAATTTTTGTTATCTTTCTATACCAAACAACCAATTCAAAAGGTGTTTATTGGTAGCAATAGAGGCAAGATGAAAAATCAATAAAAGAAGGCACAAGAGGAGACCAATAACACGAAGTTAATGATTGGTTTTGGAAGCACAAAACAGCAAGATTTTTCTCTCGAATGGGCAGCCACGTTTTTCACTCTATGCACACACAAATCACACATTTAGACGGCTAGGTCAAAGCAACATATATATAGGAGTAAATTAGGCTTTAGTTCGATCAATAAAAGGGTTAAATGAGACAAGATTTAAAACTATCCAATAGGTAATATATAGAGGCCATGGATAGCATTAATTTCTTAAACTACTTCCAACGGTCTAGTTATTTTCAGGTTGAGCTTTTGGACTTGGTTGTTGGCAATCAACTCACCATTGGGCGAGGCTTGTGACATTATATTCTGACATTTACATCGTCGCCTAGGATTCATTGGATATCAAAATCCAACAAATCTCCACCTTAATACTCAATCAATTTGCAAGTAATAAAAACACAAAGTTAATACTTGCATAATCAAGGTAGCCAATAAAATTGGGATAGTGGACATTACATTGTGTTTCGAAATCGAAACATATATCATAGTTACTTCATGTACTCATCAGGGACAAAGTAAAAAATCACCTAATTAGAAGCCGATAATAATAGTAAACAATCGTAAGCAAATAAACATGCAATGAATAAATAAAAAAAGATAACACACGGATCTTTTCAAAAGATACGTTTACACAGAACAATAGATTAATACCAAGTTAATCAACAAATGGTCAATACATATGCAACAAATACATAAATTACCTCACGAAATCATCTCAGTACACTTATCATAACCCATTCCGTGTTTCTTACATCTCGATAACACATATCTCCTCTCATTACCTACCATGCTCATTAGACCAATCATTCAACTCATATCTAACTGGTAAAATACAGTAGATTCTAAGTCCTATGGATAATCCTCTATCACCACAACACTTATTTCAATGCAAGTGTATAAAGGGTCTCTACCTATTAGAAGTGATATAAGTATTTGTCATACTCCACTTGATAAGGGTTTTTAAGATAAATGATTCCAATATTTAATCACATCTCCACTCGTGATCTAAATGCCACACTCCATATCTCCGGTCTATACCACTAATATAGCCATAGGCATCTATACTCCATATCATCAATAGACATACAACACGCCTATTGTTAGTACATCCCAACCTATTATGCAATATGCATGCAAACACATTACACCAAGTAATCATATTGTTTCCAATTTCATGCAAATTCATATATCAAACACATTGGAATGTCATATAATCATGCAACAAAATTATGCAATCACATACATGCAAAAAAGATTACACAGAGATGAACATGTAGTAATTATGTTTACTCACAATAAACTTTACTAGGGTCATCACTCGACACTATAGCCACACCTCTTATCTTACCATTCCACTTATCCTTCTGTTTGGGATAGTTTCCCACTAAGTGTTCAGACTTACCACAATTGTAATACCGTTTACTACTAGACTTGTCCAAACCCTTGCCCTAGGGGTGTCAATTTGGCTCGTATCGTCCGTAACTAGGCCCTAAAAAAACTCGAGTCGGCTTGGCTTGAGGCTCGGTAGAATCGAGCCCCATTTTGGGGCGTCAACCTGAGCCTGAGTCACACGGGGTCACTTCAGCTTGTGATAAGCCTACCTTTAAAAAAAATGCAGAAAAAATATTTAGATTGTCATCAAGATCCTTTAAAGAACCCATTTTAAAATCGAAATTTTTTTTGAGCAAGTACGACTTATTTGGAGTAGGCTTAAACAAATATAAGTCTTTCTACTTTTTCCAAAGTTCATTAGTATAATCGAAATTTTCAATCTTTTTAAAAACAGTGTCAGCTAGATGTAAAATAATTAAAATGTATGAAAGTTCATCATGTTATTCTTTTTGTGCTTCTCTCAAATTTACAGGAAATTTGTCATCTATGACTTTACGAACTTTTGTTGAACTAAAATCTCTTGCATCTTCTGTTACTAAATTGAAAAATTCCATTTATCCATTAAAAATTCCAACTTCGAAATATGAACACATTAAAAAAAGAACAACCAAAGTGCACAAATAAGTCACCAAAAATAATCCTAAGGCTGCAGTATACAACATTCTAGATTCATAGGATTTTGTGAAATTCAAGATCTCAGTATTAAGGAATGTCCAAATGGGTCATGTTCAGGTGTTCTAACGGAATAATCAATGTAACACTAAGGTATGTAAATAAAAATTTAGTTTCTCACATAATGTAGTCACACATAGTGACTTAATGGCAATTAAAATAGAAAAGCAATTATCAACTTGTAGTTAAATTTTCAACACTTCAAATATGGCGAATAAATCATAAATTTTTAGCACAAACAATGGTTGCCCTACATGGTAACTCTAATCGTAATGTCATCCCATACAAGGACTCGTTAACGCTGAAATTTAAATGATGACAAGCCAATATACTAGAATGGACAAATTTGAGTCCGTAAATAATGAGAGTTGTAAGTTTACAACTTTAGAGCCACCACTCTTCGTCCTAATGTCTCTAACAATTGCAGAAATCAATTAACCATGATCGAATCTCAACAAGCAGATGGCAAAATCGTCCAAACTTCACCATATAACCTGGGACAGAAAATTTACAATACCAAAATATTTGAAATGAAGTTAGGACCAAACTAACAGAAGACACTATCACTAGAAAATCGTCGAACGCGCCTCCACGCGCACTTGAAGTCTTTGCGCGTATGTTTCATGAGCCACCATACACGTCGTCAGACCTCCTTCTGGTTTGGTCATAAATCAAGAAAACAACTTTGATTTTTAGGCAATTTTCTGGACAATTTTTCAATTTGTTTTTTTGCTTCGATTCTGCAATTTCCTGGTTGGTTTTTAGTCAGATTTTTGAGACAAATCTACCACCTTGAAACTTTGATACTAATTGTTGTGGAAACTGGTTTCAAAGATTTTCTAAACGGTGTTCTTGGGCTCAATTTGGCATTACTTTTCTTTACTAAACAACCAATCCAAATGGCTTCAACCCTCAACCAATATATTTATCTCGGTTGCTTCTCAATCTCTACACGAATGACAAGATAACAATGTTGATTTATAGTCACAAAGACAATAATAAAAATCAATAAAAGAAGGCACAAGAGGAAACCAATAACACAAAGTTAATCACCAATTTTGGAAGCACAAAGCAGCTGAATATTCTTCTCAAATGGGCAGCCACAATTTTCACTTTATGCACACGCAAATCACACACTTAGACGGTTAGCTTGAAGCAAAATATATATAAGAGGAGATTAGGCTTTAATTGGACTAATAATAAAGTTAAATGGGCTAAAATTCAAAATCATCTAATAGGTAAACATATATTGGCTGTGTGAGTAGCATTAATTTCTTAAACTACTTTCAACCGTCCACATTGTTTTTCGGTCGAGTCTTTAAAACTTCGTTATAATAATTAATTAACCATTGGTTGAGGCCTATAAAATCGATGTTTACATCATAGTTCGGAATTCATTGGACATCGAAACCCAGCATTATGGTTTGCCCTAATGATGGAAACCAGCCAAGATTACGTTATATTGTTGCACGCTTAATGGAAATGTCTCTTTTTAAAAAACCATATCGTGTAGAAAAGTAAAATAGAACTTTATAAAGATTTACATATAAAAAATACATAATGATTTAACAAAGCATTTCAACGATTTTTACCACTAACTCGTCCAAGAACCATTGTGTTACCATAATGAAAAATTTTAAAGTTGCGGATTATCGAGCAACATGTTTGAAGATGAATATTGTAATTTTCTCAAATTTAAAAAGAGAAAATATTTGATTCTTTTAAAGTTAAATTTCCAATAAGTTGGAAAAAGAAAATAAAGCGATAAAAAAAATTGAACTCTAAATTGTAAAGCATTCAATATACGTAAGAGTAATGCTATTCATAATTGTTTATTATGATAGTCGTCCTACGTGATATCCTCACGATATTTTGTGATTTGTATTAATGTATTATTTTTTTATCTCATGTATTAAATTACTAATATCACATGTTTAAAATTACTATAAAAATTGTGAGTTTCGTGAAATGAATTTTAGAAAATAGGTTGAAAAAGGCACAATAAATTAAATTTCTTTGTAAAAGAATTTATTTTATTGCAGTAAAAAAAAAAATGCAAAGTTCATCAGTTTCTGTTGTGGCTGTATTTTTCAGCGATGGCACTTTGAGATGAGCGCTTTCTCTCTCTTCCTCGATTCGTGCTGCTATTATTATATAGTACCATCTCTTTTTCTCTCTCCTCCTTTCTAAATAATACGAAAATTTACAGAGCATGTGAAAAATCAAGAAACCCCCAATACCCAATGCTCAGATTCTTCTTCTTCAACAACCATTCATCACCTCTCCTTTTCCTCTAGTTTGTGCGCAGAAGAGAAGCCCATATCAAAGAAAATCATGAAGAGGGATAATCCGAATCAACTAAATTTTGCCACTTCTAGTTCATCGAACAAGGGCAAGATGTGGTGTGAAGAACAAGATGCAGGTGGTGTCGATGAACTCTTTGCAGTTTTGGGTTACAAGGTAAAGTCATCTGATATGGCTGAGGTTGCGCAGAAGCTCGAACATCTTGAAGAAGTGATGGGCAGTGTTCAACAAGACGGGCTTTCTCAAATAGCATCTGATACTGTTCATTACAATCCTTCAGATCTATCATCATGGCTGGAATCCATGATTTCTGAGCTTAACCCTCTTCCTAATTTTGAATCCTTCAACTCTATTGTTCAAGATCCGTTCCTTGAAACATCTTGTGTTACTAGTATTGATTCTCACAGCTATAACAGCTTGAATAGCCATGCTCGTTCACATATATCTGTTTCAACCCAGCAACAAATGGTTGTTGATTCAGATTTTGGTTCAGATCTTATTTCTATTCCGGGGAAAGCTGTGTATCCCCCAAGTCAACAGCACCCACCGCTCCAGCATCAGCCACAACCCAAGAAATTGAAGCCATCATCATATTCTGGTATGGGAAGTTCCAATACTGCTTCTTGGGGTTCGCCTAATGAGTCCATTTCTGCACATCCCATCGAGTCTGCCCGTCCCATGCTCCTGGTTGACTCACAAGAAAATGGTATTAGGTTAGTCCACAGCTTGATGGCTTGTGCAGAGGCTGTGCAACAACAGAACATGAACTTGGCTGAGGCTTTGGTCAAGCAAATTGGGTTCCTCGCAGTATCCCAAGCAGGGGCTATGCGAAAAGTAGCTACATATTTTGCTGAAGCATTAGCCAGGAGAATTTACAAATTATACCCCACAAATCCACATGACACCGCCTTTACGGACCTCCTTCAAATGCACTTCTATGAAACCTGCCCGTACCTGAAATTCGCCCATTTTACCGCAAATCAAGCTATTCTAGAAGCGTTTGCAGGTAAAAGTCGCGTCCATATAATTGATTTCGGCATGAAACAGGGGATGCAATGGCCTGCTCTTTTACAGGCCTTGGCCTTGAGGCCCGGTGGCCCGCCCAGCTTCCGATTGACAGGAATTGGACCGCCGTCACACGATAACATGGATCATTTGCGAGAAGTGGGGTGTAAATTGGCTCAATTGGCTGAGACAATTCACGTTGAGTTTGATTACAGAGGCTTTGTGGCTAATTCATTAGCTGATCTTAACGCATCCATGTTTGATGTAAGGGAAGGTGAAACTGTGGCCGTGAATTCCATATTCGAGCTTCATCAGTTGCTGGCCCAGCCCGGCGCCATCGAAAAAGTGCTGCAAGTCGTGAGCGAAGTGAAGCCTGAAATCTTGACTGTGGTGGAGCTAGAGGCTAACCACAATGGGCCGGTTTTCTTGGACCGATTCACGGAGTCTTTGCACTATTACTCGACCCTTTTTGATTCTTTGGAGAGTAGCGGTGGCGGCGATATTGGTGGCGGGGCGGTGAGTGTTCAGGACAAGGTTATGAGTGAAGTTTATTTGGGTCGGCAGATCTGTAATGTGGTGGCGTGTGAGGGACCGGACCGGGTGGAGAGGCACGAGACCTTGGTCCAGTGGAGAACCCGGTTCCAGTCTGCCGGGTTTGGGCCGGTTCATTTGGGTTCAAATGCTTATAGGCAGGCTAGTATGTTACTTGCCTTATTTGCAGGTGGGGATGGCTATAGAGTTGAGGAAAAAGATGGGTGTTTGACATTAGGATGGCATACAAGGCCATTGATTGCTACCTCGGCCTGGAAACTCATCTAACACACTGAGTCAACGAAAACCGGTTGGTTGACTCGGTTTTGAAGGTGTACCTACCTTAGTGAGGATGAGACGCACCACTCCCAAGTGTCTCACTTTTACTTTTTTCTTTATATTTTCCGTTTTTTAGCCGATCCTTTTTATGGCTTTGAAATTTAATTTTCTTGTTTTATTGGGTGTAATCTTGTAATTCTGAGGGGTGAGTGAATCTGAAATAGTCAATGTGTATTTTTTTATTTATATATAGCTTTTGCCTCAATAAAGAAGAGAGCTCTTCTTTGGATTTGTGTTTGTGCGTGTGTTTCGGTGTTTGTGCATGGGATTTCAATAGGTTTTGGGCATCATGTGATGGCAGAAATGCGCTGTTTGTACAGCATATAAATGCTGTAAATTTTTACAGCCCTCTCATAGGGGTGGGACTCGCGACTAAAATAATCGTGGATCCTACTCCTATATGTGCGATGACTGTCAAAATTGATATATATGGTGCTGTACATGTAGCAACTTTCATAACAATGTGCGAAATTATTCATTACATTTTGAGTATTTCGTAAATTTGGATCCATGTAATCACGGAATCAAATACGAACTTGAATTGTGAGCTTTTGCCTCAATGAAGAAGGAAAGCTCTCTCTTGGATTCTTGATTGTGTTAATGTTTAGTGCGTGTGATTTCAATTGGGCAAGAAGGTTGGGTTGAGTATTATGTAAATGGAATTATTTGAGTCTACATAGTTATTAGAACTAGACACGAACGTAAATTATCGATTGCAATTTGGTTTTACTCATAATAAATTTTTTTTTTTTAAAAAAAAGTGAGTTGATAATGTAAATTATTTGTCATATATATATCAAAATAAAAAAAAATAAAAAAATGCCAACAAATATATATTTAAACACCTCCCTAATCTGCTACAAATAATGTCATCGAATAATATTTAATGTCTAGCATAAAAGCATCCAGTTCCAAACATGATTGTCTCAAGAAAAGTTTGTGAAGTCGTCAAATGCGTAATGTGCAGTCTAGAATGGCTACGAAGGAAAGAATAAATTATTCAAATAAATTTTTTTTTTATTTTTTATACTTGATAAGTAGTATATTTTTATTAAATAAGGTTCAATGGATAACTCCCAACTTTACCTACTTGATCAATTCAACTGTAGACTAGTGTCGAGTGTGAATCTTCTTTTATTACCTTTCTATATGTATGCAAAAACTCAAAGTACAACTTTAGAAATTCAATTCCTGTTCATTCAAGAAAACTACCCCATTGTTAATTTCTTTTCACTTGGTGTATATTTTTCAACGAGTGACTCATTCAAAGGATAGACCACAATTAAATAAGAAGATATCAATTTCAAAGGAGAATAATCAAGCTATAGAGTACAATGTGTTTAAAGTTGATGCCACCTTAGCATGTTATTTACTAATCTAGTCACTATACGATTGTTACGTTTTATATAAAATATTACATGATTAAGTTGCCCTAATACCATCTATGCTAATTAATTTTTGTTTAATGATTGTTTTTACATCTAAACAATAATTTCGCCGTCCATTTGGTGATGTTGAAATTAATAAAAGCAACTAGGCGAGTTCATTGAATTTGGTAAGAGATATGGACGGATTAGACAAATATGGGGCCGAATGCTTCATAAATTTCCAATATCATCATATGCGTGACACCGCTTTGTGGCTAATTCATTAGCTGATCTTAACGCATCCATGTTTGATGTAAGGGAAGGTGAAACTGTGGCCGTGAATTCCATATTCGAGCTTCATCAGTTGCTGGCCCAGCCCGGCGCCATCGAAAAAGTGCTGCAAGTCGTGAGCGAAGTGAAGCCTGAAATCTTGACTGTGGTGGAGCTAGAGGCTAACCACAATGGGCCGGTTTTCTTGGACCGATTCACGGAGTCTTTGCACTATTACTCGACCCTTTTTGATTCTTTGGAGAGTAGCGGTGGCGGCGATATTGGTGGCGGGGCGGTGAGTGTTCAGGACAAGGTTATGAGTGAAGTTTATTTGGGTCGGCAGATCTGTAATGTGGTGGCGTGTGAGGGACCGGACCGGGTGGAGAGGCACGAGACCTTGGTCCAGTGGAGAACCCGGTTCCAGTCTGCCGGGTTTGGGCCGGTTCATTTGGGTTCAAATGCTTATAGGCAGGCTAGTATGTTACTTGCCTTATTTGCAGGTGGGGATGGCTATAGAGTTGAGGAAAAAGATGGGTGTTTGACATTAGGATGGCATACAAGGCCATTGATTGCTACCTCGGCCTGGAAACTCATCTAACACACTGAGTCAACGAAAACCGGTTGGTTGACTCGGTTTTGAAGGTGTACCTACCTTAGTGAGGATGAGACGCACCACTCCCAAGTGTCTCACTTTTACTTTTTTCTTTATATTTTCCGTTTTTTAGCCGATCCTTTTTATGGCTTTGAAATTTAATTTTCTTGTTTTATTGGGTGTAATCTTGTAATTCTGAGGGGTGAGTGAATCTGAAATAGTCAATGTGTATTTTTTTATTTATATATAGCTTTTGCCTCAATAAAGAAGAGAGCTCTTCTTTGGATTTGTGTTTGTGCGTGTGTTTCGGTGTTTGTGCATGGGATTTCAATAGGTTTGGGCATCATGTGATTGCAGAAATGCGCTGTTTGTACAGCATATAAATGCTGTAAATTTTTACAGCCCTCTCATAGGGGTGGGACTCGCGACTAAAATAATCGTGGATCCTACTCCTATATGTGCGATGACTGTCAAAATTGATATATATGGTGCTGTACATGTAGCAACTTTCATAACAATGTGCGAAATTATTCATTACATTTTGAGTATTTCGTAAATTTGGATCCATGTAATCACGGAATCAAATACGAACTTGAATTGTGAGCTTTTGCCTCAATGAAGAAGGAAAGCTCTCTCTTGGATTCTTGATTGTGTTAATGTTTAGTGCGTGTGATTTCAATTGGGCAAGAAGGTTGGGTTGAGTATTATGTAAATGGAATTATTTGAGTCTACATAGTTATTAGAACTAGACACGAACGTAAATTATCGATTGCAATTTGGTTTTACTCATAATAATTTTTTTTAAAAAAAAAAAAAGTGAGTTGATAATATAAATTATTTGTCATATATATATATCAAAATAAAAAAAAATAAAAAAATGCCAACAAATATATATTTAAACACCTCCCTAATCTGCTACAAATAATATCATCGAATAATATTTAATGTCTAGCATAAAAGTATCCAGTTCCAAACATGATTGTCTCAAGAAAAGTTTGTGAAGTCGTCAAATGCGTAATGTGCAGTCTAGAATGGCTACGAAGGAAAGAATAAATTATTCAAATAAATTTTTTTTTTATTTTTTATACTTGATAAGTAGTATATTTTTATTAAATAAGGTTCAATGGATAACTCCCAACTTTACCTACTTGATCAATTCAACTGTAGACTAGTGTCGAGTGTGAATCTTCTTTTATTACCTTTCTATATGTATGCAAAAACTCAAAGTACAACTTTAGAAATTCAATTCCTGTTCATTCAAGAAAACTACCCCATTGTTAATTTCTTTTCACTTGGTGTATATTTTTCAACGAGTGACTCATTCAAAGGATAGACCACAATTAAATAAGAAGATATCAATTTCAAAGGAGAATAATCAAGCTATAGAGTACAATGTGTTTAAAGTTGATGCCACCTTAGCATGTTATTTACTAATCTAGTCACTATACGATTGTTACGTTTTATATAAAATATTACATGATTAAGTTGCCCTAATACCATCTATGCTAATTAATTTTTGTTTAATGATTGTTTTTACATCTAAACAATAATTTCGCCGTCCATTTGGTGATGTTGAAATTAATAAAAGCAACTAGGCGAGTTCATTGAATTTGGTAAGAGATATGGACGGATTAGACAAATATGGGGCCGAATGCTTCATAAATTTCCAATATCATCATATGCGTGACACCTCCAACTTACGTACTATTACTAAGCTATATCTTGTTAATATAAGTATGAATATAACTTCCTCAAAAATTTGACGTAATGGATAAAATCTCCAAAGGTGACTTTCTAAAAACAATACAATTAGCAAGTGAAGATTGTATGACTAGGGAAAGAGGGAGGCCTTCCCCCATACCCCATATATATGTATATATCCGGATTAGCTTTGATATCAGTTTGTTTAAAAGATTGTTGTTGCGAAAGCTCTCTTGAAAGATCTTCGAATTGATGATTTTCGGCTTCAGTCCAACGTACCTTTCTCTACCAACAACCAATCCAATCGGTTCCAAACCACAACCAATTGATTCACCTCGATTGCTATTCAATCTTAACCACGTAGAATAAGAAAAGATGATGATTTGTGGCTACAAAGGCTAGGAGAAGACACCAGAAATGTATGCTATGAAGGAACCACCAAGTGCACACGTTAAACAAGTGTTTTGGACACTTCTAGAGGCCTTTTTCTTCACACACAAAGGAGGCAGCTAGGATTCCCTTTCTTTTTTCTCATAAAACCACACAAAATATCATAAGAAAGTGGCTAGAGTTATAGCCATATATATACTCTAGGGTTAGGCTTTAAGTTGGATATTTAAAGAGGTAAACGGGCCAAGATTTAAGCCATCTAAAAGGGAATAGAATTGGACCAGGTGTAGCTCATGGACTTGGTTGTTGGACTTATTTCATTCATTGGCCTATGCTTATGAAATAATATTAACCCATGTTAACATCATAGCCCTGGATTTATTGGGTATAAAAAACCCAACAATTGTTTTTACGGGATTTAAATCTTTAAATCTAAACAATTCTTTCTTCAAGTTTATAATGTATATAGCACGATCTAATTGTTATCTTGAGCCTATAAAGAGCCAACACCTTGTCATCTATTTATAGGAGCCAAATCTTGGATTATGGATGAAATAGAATATTTAATCCCAAAGTCATTATCCAAATCAAACTCAATGCATGATTAAATTTGATACCTTATTTATCAAGACTTCTAAACCAAAATTATCTAGGCTTCTCTATGAACTACGATTCCAACTCATATGGAATTTGAGTTACAACCTAATAAACTTCACCTTGACACAATTTCAAAATAAGGAATTAAGCCTTTGCTCTTCAAGTCATTTTGTAACTCTTCCACCATGTCCTTGTTGGGTATACTCAAAAACTGTGAACTAAATCTAAATCTTGCTCACTAGCAGAACTACTTTGTCTACCATCCTTGTTTGAATCATCTTGTTCACCTCCAGCTCCAGTCGAATCATCGAGACCGCTCAAATCACTATGAGCACTTTCAAATCCACTTGAGTTGTCAAACCTGCTTAAATCACCATGAGCAACATAATCAACAACATCACAACTAGCACCACTTCAGCCAATGGAAGATTTCCAAATATTACTGTTCAGATTATCACAAATAAACCGATCACAATTAAATCTACCCGAGTCACTTCTTATCAAACCATAAGCTGCAGTTACATCCACAGTGACCGCCCAACTTTCTAACACATATAATCGGGACTTTCTTTGCCCTTTTAATACAATCTTGGCATCCTTGCTAACTTTTAGAACTCCACATCTATCAGTATTCCTGTACACTTTTGAATCAAGAGTAGTCAGAGAGATTACATTCTTGTTTAAACCATGAAAAATGTCGAACCTGGTCCGCACCATCAAACATCTTGATTTTGATGTTACCTATCCCAATTATTTGACAAGGCTCATTATTTCCATCATCATGTAACCCCATGTAATTGCTTTATAAAAAGAAAACCAATCCCTGTTTGGATACATATGAAAAGGGGCAAGTCGAATCAAGAATCTGATCTTCGTCATATTTGGAGTCATCATCAGTAGTTACCAAACGATCTCCATCACTGCAATCTTTTTTTGCCAGACCGGCATCACCGAAATTTCCTGGTTGTCCCTTCTAATCTGTAATAGCCAAGCTGTGTTGCCACTCATAGCATTCCTTCTTCATGTGTAATTTGTTGTTGCAATACCAACAAACTATATCACTGTTGCTATCCTTGGATCTGCCATTTTCATGACCACTTATCTTCCTCTCATGAATAACAAGACCCCGTGCCTGGGTCTCAGATTTGACGACTAGATGATTCATCCTCTCTTAGGAATAATGCGCATTATACACGTCGTCAATGGTAAGAATATCTCGATTATAGAGAATGGTATCTCTAAAGTCACATATGAAGGCAACAATGAACATAATAATATCATCCTTAAATCATCTTCATCATACTTGACATCTATGGTCTCCAAGTCAAAGACGATTTTCCCTGAACACTGATAGATGATTTTTCAAAGATCTACCTCCCATCAAGCGATGAGAATACAATTGCTGCTTCAAGTATAACTTACTTGTCAAGCTCTTTCTCATATAAAGCTGTTCCAACTTTAACCACTATCCAGCGACAATTTTCTCCTTTACTACGTCCTGAAGAATTTGATTAGAAAGATGAAGATGTATTTGCGATAGGGCTTTTCGATCCTTCCTCTACTTCTTCTCCAAGGTCATTATTGCGAGCATTCAATCTATCCGCAACAAAACATCAACAAAATTCAATTGAGCAAGAAACGCTCGCACCTTGATCTGCAACAAAGAGAATCTACTGTTACGATCCAAAAGCGAAATCTCGAATATCATAGTTGTTATCCCTGAAAAAATTGACCTTGCTACAACCTTGTTTTAATATCCAATTTGGACCTCTGAAGAACCCGACAAAAAACCCTCAATCTTATTAGAACAATGTACTTTATCTTAGGTGTAAGAGTCAATATAGTAGACAAATAGTATCTAGAGTTAGTCAAATGTAGGAATTAATTTTTCCATCAAAATTCTCTTGCATAAATCTTGAGATTGCCATATCTTCAATGTGATTTCAAAGTTTGAACCATACATCACATGTTGGAAAAAAATAGCGACCACATATAAACAAGCTAATTAGAAAATATAAATAAATAGAGGATAAAAAAACCAAATGGTCGAGCAGAATACATTCACGAGACAAGAAGATTACATTCATCAATTTAAGTCAAATATCCAACATGTGACACATGCAATAATGAATGGGCCATTCCCATTACTCTTTTGAATTATTATTAGATATCTTATTTAATATTTTTTAACTATGCATATTTTGAAATCACAACTTTTATTAACTTTTCAATCATATATTTTATTAACTTTTATAAAAAAAATAAAATACTAAAAATCTGATTTTTAGCGTAACTAAATTGGGTTTAATCTATATGAAAAATAAAACTTTTATTATTATTATTATTATTATTATTATTATTATTATTATTATTATTATTATTTTCCCTCTGTATGTTTAGTTTTGATGTGAAAAAGAAAAGAAAAGGAATGACCTTCAAGAAACTTAATAAAGGTCAAAGACTCTCCTCCATGACCTAAATTTTTGAAGACAACTTTGACACCATGGGAAGCTTACCAAGTGAGCCAGCTAGCAAACTAAACCTATGGTGGAATGTATCTTTTTAGCTTCAACTCTTAAATGATTAACTCATCTATTAAAAGGTATTAGTTTTGACTATTACATGTAAAAGTGTATAGGGCAATTATAAGTGCACCCACTTCACACGTGTGTACACTCTTGATGAAATAATGGTCACTTCTATCACAATTCATTTTATATTAATTAAATTTTACGTATAATATAATTTAATGTTTATTTTATATCAATTTGTAAAATAATATATCACAAGTCACACATCTCACGTTGTTTTTATCAATTGGACTTTATTTCTTGGATCTCCAACGTCAAATGTGAGGTTCCTTGCCTAGATAATTTCTTCATGGGTGTCGATCAATCCTGTCGATGATTCTTAAGCACCATTTTAATTAAGCAAGGGTTAAATTCTTTGTCAATTTTTTATAAAAATATTTTAAAACCAAGAGAAGAAGTAGTATGTTCGATTAGAACCTTAGTTGACATGTATCTCGCTCGATTATATCTGTTTACCTTCTTACTATACAATGAAATGATTTACACTATCTTACACCTTTGAAACCACAATGTATTGAAACAACTCATATAAACTGACTTAATACAAAGATGTTGTTGTAGATTATATCAATTATCTAGATAGCGTCATCATACCTTTCCATTGCTTTCAAATTTGTTCTAACTTGCAAAATAATCTAAAGCCTCCAAGACATTTAAGGACTCTTGAATTGTTAGTATATCTACGTTCACTAGTAATTTTGAATTTAATATAGTAGAGACAATAATCATCTTCGCATATAGCTAGAATACCTTGTGTGAACACATATCTCGTGATAGATTTAATATCCAGTCTGCATCCATATATCTCCATTGCATATGAAAATTTCTCACAAATTTCTAAATAATCTAATGCCGCTCGAAGATATTTAAGCACTCTCTCTTTATAATATTACTTATTTGAATTGTTAGTAAATCTACTTAGTCTTCTAATAACAATATCCAGCTACTTGCTATTTGTAAGAATAGTCATTGGGAATACTCTATGTGTGAACTATTTCACCTAAATTCTTCAACGAGTGTAATTTGAATTATACGGAGGGGAAATTGGTTCATTATCGTAATATTCGAATTTTACATTTTCATGACGTCACTAAACAATGTACTCTTTTTTGGACTTTTACTTCTTGTAAAAGAACTTTATGAAAAATTACTTTTAGACCAACTTCTTCTATCTAGTCGAAGCACTTCATAAAATTAACCAAACATGTTAAAAATCAACTTTAGATTTTTTGATAGCTCTGCCAAACATGTCCTAAATATAACAATATCCTTTCCTGGCCTGCAACCCAATTTATGTATAGATTACTCGAGCTTACTTAAAACTTTCACGTCAAAATTATTAAACAAATAAAATTTTCACAACCGTTGATCCAACTTAGTCTGACATGGCACAGCTTGATACGTCGGGTCGGGCCATGCTCCGGCTGTGCCGTCGCTAATTTTGACTTAATGACATCTCGTAGACGAAGGTGCCATGCAAATTGTTTGTCAACTTATATGCAGATAGGACCCTCTTCTTAAAAAATCATATCATATAAACCCACATGCCTTTTTTCAGCTCCTAATTTCCTCCTCACTTCCTCTATCGACATAACAAATAAAGCTTTTATTTGCTTTAGAAAACTAGCTCATGCTGAAGCCAAGTCAAACTAAATTTCTTGAAACATTAATGGAAGTTGGAACTTCGTTCTCGATACTTTTCAAGAAAATCTTGAATTGAATCCGTTGATACAATTGATTATAACTTATTCCTAAACGAGTCATAAATATATATGTCTACAAATTGGATTAAGAACACAATCTTAATTGAAATACATGACTTTTGGTCAACTAACGGTGTAATTGACGGTTTCCTTCATTTTGTCTTTGTATTGTGATTATTTTAACGGTTTGAGTCTGTCAATAATACAAACGAAATATTTGTGTAAATTTGAGAAAAGGGAAAGATTTGTGGCCGTTGCTGCAACTATCCCAATAGAAAATTATGCATTTAAAATGTTGGGTGTCAGCATCAGTCGTGGGGTTCCATGTTTGGGGGCTGAGTGGGAAGTTGAAACTGACTTTCAGTTTGGAGATCAATGCTTTTGAGTTGTTGTCCAATTTTCCACTAAATATTCCACTACAAAATGTCCCAATTCTAATTTTTTAAATGTTTTTTTGTTGAAAATTTAGAATTTGTTCCAGTCAACGTATGACTTTCTGCAATTGAGTGGTACTAGTGAAAGAATCTAATTGGTACAAGCAACATTGTAACAAGGCAATGGCAGCATCAGTGCATGCATGTTGTCTTTTAAACTTTAAAAATGGAGAAACAAGAAAGTCTTGAACATATAAGGTAAATACTAAATTTTTTAATTCAACTTGGGCTTAGATGCGATTCACACCTTAGACAAGTTCTTTTAAAAAATAATTATTAAAGAAAAAGAAATTAAATAAATAAAAGAATCACCGACCAAATCATCCTGACCATTCAAATAGAAATTTTAGAATAATTAGAGTCTACGAGAAGAGGACAATAATACGCATCAATGAGAATAGTAAATCACGACTAATTTTTATTGGATCCATTATACGTCCTTTGTTTTCCGTATCTTTCCCAATTGTTCCTTTATGCTAGGCGCAATTCGTTTATTAAAATGCTTATAATATAATACAAATTTTGTAATAATTATCGAAATATTTGAAGATAGTTTCACAAACGGTCATGGAAGTTTGTGTGAAGTACTTACGAATTCAGCACTGATATCAATTAGCATTATCATAAGTATTAAAAAATATATATAGTATTTTAAAAATAAAAAGTTCGGTGCAAAATTAAAATAACAATGATAACAAGGATAAGTAATTGAGATTTTTCCGTTCAATTATCAACTTGTTTTTACAGTGATCAACGATTAAATGATGGTTTAAATATCATTTTGCAATATTAATTATAATAGAATCCATTACGCTATACGTGTCCTGCTACAGAGCGTTAATGACTGGGCGGCCTCTCCTTAATTTTCTTAGTGTTGAGGAGGTCATTCTTCTGCATAACAACTTGGCTTAAAAACAGATTTTTTTATTTTTTTGAGAAGAAAATAAAAAATTACAGCAATGGATGCATTAGGTCTTCTCAAAATTAGGGTTCGAAGAGGCATTAATCTTGCTGTACGTGATGCAGCTAGAGGTAGCAGTGATCCTTATGTTATTATCGCCTGTGGCGCCCACGTACGTCATTTTTCTTGAATTTTCAGTCTGTCTTGCTCATTATAGATAAGATAAGATTTGAATGATATACGTCTACATGAACATAAACGTATTCATGTTGTAGATCAAGTTCAACATGGTCTTCTCTTTAAGTGTTGCCATCTCCCATTTAATGATATTGTGCACGGATATGGTTTTAAGGAAAAAATAAATAAATAAAAAAAAAAAAAATTGGACCTTGCTGAGGGGCACGTGGAAGATTGTATTTAAATAATATATATGTGATCCTCTTGAACAATTTTTGCTTTTAGGTCGACTGATTCAACAATACATTACAGGAATCCGGTTTTTTGCCTTTAGTGTGCAATGAGAAATTCTTTTGAAACACGAGAAATAGTTATTCTAGATTAAGAGATAACAGGCTTTCGAGTTCTGATATAAATCAATGGGGTTCGTGGAATTTAATGATTTAGATTTTTTGTTTCTTTTTTGAGACATTAAAACCAGAATCTTTGATCGAAAGATTTCATGCTCCCGTTTGGTTCTGTTTTTTCAAGCCAAAAAATCAATTTTTTAATCGTTACTTAACATTGTCAGCCGTCATTTTTTACCTCTTTAATCATAGATGAAACCCACTTTTCTATATAATGATAAAAAATTGATTCTCATAATCAGCACCAAACATGCTCCATACTTGAAATTTCTGTCTCAAATCTGCATTACCTTAGTTGATAGCTGTTCATGGTCACCTCAATTTTTATTTTGAAGTTAACTGGCTGAGTAATTCTTCGGTAAGATAGTAATGGTATTTTAATCTTGATTTGGTCGTCGTGTAAATTGGAACTTAACTACATCTGAACCCCTACGTTCACCACGAATTTTACTTACTCTGAGTTGAGTGGTCGCAAAACTTTCTGGTTTTCATGCTAGAATGACTTCTGATGTTGAACATGTCACTGCAGAAAGTTAAGACTAGTGTACTGAAGAGCAACCTCAACCCCGAATGGAACGAGGAGTTGACCATTTCCATTAAGGATCTGAATGTTCCTATCGTTCTAGTACGTATCATTCTCCCATATTAATGAGCAATCAACTTCAGAATAACAGGAAGCCATATGTTTAGTGATGCTTGTTGATGAACAGCATTAGCTTTCTTTTCTCAATGTGGTCGATTCAAATTCATGATTGGATTTTCAAATACATGAGCCGGTTCAATTATCTTGAATTTTGACAGAATTTCCATTATGATTCAGTTCTAAACTCCAAGATGACACAAATACTAATTCTTCTCCTATGCTCGGTATTAGAAGATGGAACAAGGAATATATGTGAAAATTTGAATCACCATTTATGTCTTGTACTTTCAGACAGTGCATGACAAAGACACATTTTCTCTGGATGACAACTTGGGAAAAGCAGAAATAGACATCAAACCTTATATAGAATGCTTCAAGACTGGATTTAGAGGAGTCTCGGATGGCATTACAATCGAAAGAATTCAACCGAGTGAGCAAAATTGCTTATCTGAAGAGAGCTGTATTATCTGGAAAGATGAGAAAATGACACAAGACATGACTCTTAAGTTGCGAAAAATTGAATGCGGTGAAATAGAACTCCAAATTGAATGGATTAATCTTCCTGGTTGTAAAGGTCTTCCCAACTGAGGTACGATCTAAATCTATTTGCCGTTGGTTTGCACACTTCCGTTCTCCTGCCCACAGTAAAAAGTCTTATCTTGCCAACTTTGAAGAGAACCGTTCTCATGTGACGTTAGCAGATGGGTAGTCTTATTCTGTCCACTGTTGGCAGGAGAACAATTTCGTTAGTTTACATATCCCCGTGTAACTCTATACTATCTCATTCAAATTTATAAAATGACTATGCTTTGCATATATTGTTGTAGGACATAATACAAAAGGATGCTGGAAAAACTCGGAGGATTTATTTGAGATATGCTGTGTTGGTGGCCTAATGGGAATTAAAATGCTCTTTTAATAAAGAAACAGTTGTAAGGGGTTTGCCAGATTTTGAATAAATGTACAACTCTTTTATTTTACTATTTTCGTTGTGCAACTATACTTTTTAATGGAGGCAGGGTTACAAAAATTTTTTATTTTTTTTTATTTTTATTTTTATTTTTATTTTTATTTTTGGTGAATCTTCTACGAGTTGAATTAAACTAGATTATGCTTATATATTAAATTGGGTTTTGTTACAAGTATAGGGCCACAAGGGCCTTGTATGTGCCAGGGAACCAGCTGCCCCCACCTTTCCAGGGGCCATGTAGCTAGGGATGTCAAATAAGTTGAGCGGCTCATCAGCTCGACCGTTTAGCTAGTCAAAATCTGGCTCGTGGGTGGCTTGAACTCATCAAATGACAAGTCCGAGCTAAGCAAGAGCTCAATCCCACGAGCCATTTTGACTCGGCTCGTGGGCTCGTAAAAAAATATGAATTTTTTTTCTTTTAAAAAGGTCCAAAATATGCAAATTTACCAAATTTTTTTTATAAAAAAAATCACGAGCTCGCGAGCGGCTCATGGGCTCGACTTAGCCCGGCTCGTCTTTCACGAGCTCGGCTCACCACTAGCCCGAGCCGAGCTCGTGGGTTAAGGGGCCGAGTCGAGCCATCCCTACATGTAGCCCTGGTCAAGTAACAAAATCCTATTATATTTCATAAAAGTATAAGTAGGTATTTTATGAATTATGCTTCTTGTATATTTCTTGTTGACAATAATATTGACATATCCCTATTTGTAGGAAATCTAACTATTGATTGGAACAAGTATTGTTAAAATTAATGTACAAAAATTTGTTAATTCACATGATGTCAAATTTGATATACCTAGAACGTAATTGATTATTTAAATTTTATATGTTTATGGCATTCATTATTTTTGTAAGTCAAACAATCATTGTCATTAAGAGTTGATAAAAATTACGAGTCTCATACAATATGTGATTCAAAATGAATTTGAGAAAAAATGAGTTTTATAGAATGGGGGTAAACATGCTTAATTTACTGCACTTTGATTGATTAGAGATTAAGCCTCGTTTGGGCTTCATTTTTCAAAATAATATTTTTCTAAATTTATTTGCAACCATATTCTCTCATAAGGTAATATTATGAGTAAATTAAAATTTTTTCCTTATTTTTAATCATGCATTCTTCAAAAAATCACGATTTTAAAACATATTTCTTTGAAGATCTCATTTAATGGAGATCAAATAGGGTAGGGCTGGACAAAACTCCCGAACCGAACCGACCGAACCGAACCCGAACAGAACCGAACCTGACGGTTCTTCTCGAGTTAAATACCCGAACGGGTATTTGAATCAAGAACCGACGGGTATGGTTCGGTTCTCGGTTCTAGGCCAAGACCCGAAGAACCGAATAAGAACCGAATCTCCATAATTTTTTTAATTAATTTATTTTAAATAAGTAAAATTATTTTATTTTTTCTAAATAAATTTGTTAACTAGTTAATTTAGTTCAAACCATAAAATATGATTTTCCTATTTCTAATATTCAGTTCAAAATCGACTTAATCAAATTAACCTCAATTTTATTCAAATCTGTTATTCTACTGTAGTATCGTTTCTACCGGAGAAAATCGAATTAAAGCTTTACAACATCTCTCTTAATTATTTTGAACTCTCTATCTTTCTCTTTCTGTGATTTTAATAATTAAATTTATGAAGAATTCAGCAAAGAGAGACGCGAAACACATAAAATTGAACTACGTAATTTTATAAGAGCTAATATTAAATATATCATTAATTAAATTAACTTAATTTTGTATATATTAAAAAATTTAATTATAATACGGAACCGAACCGGACAGAACCGGACCGAACCGAACCGAATGGAACCGAACCCGAACAGTTCCGTAATTAAATTTGGACCCGACGGTTCCACTTACTAAATACCCGAAAATTTCAGGTCGGTTCGATTCTAACGAGAACCGAATCGAACCGGACCATGTCCAACCCTAAAATAGGGTGCTAAAATAAGTATGTTTGATTGGTACTTAAGATCAACTTTTGCCACATGGGCTGTAGTATAAATGGGCCTGATGTGTTAACGAATGAGTGATTAGTGCAATTTGCTCACTTATTTAGATCACATTATTAAACATTTATATCGTCAAATTATTGAATTTTATTTAATTTGGGTTGATTTTTGTTTCAGTGTTTGACCCGCTTCGAAGCAATTGGGAAAGAAAAGGATAAATTGACGATTAAATAGAAGTTGTGGACCAAATCTCACTTGAATAAAAGTTGGAGGATCAAAAGTAGTGGAATAATGAAAAAAAAGGACCAAATTGCATTAATTATAATGGAATGAGCCCTTGAAAGATAAATTCAAACTAATCGAGCTTAAAAGTGGCCTTTAGTTGTCATCGATATTTAGTTGGGCTACAAAAGGTCTACGTGTGGGATTGATAAAAAAAAAAAAAAAAGGATTATGCTTGTTGTACATTGGAGGCTATATCTGAGTGTCCATAATGGAAACAATTATGTAACACCCAATGTTCATGTAGCAAGGTCCAAAAATATATATATACAAGGCAGAGAGATTGAAGGGATTTGGACCTCAAATTGGCGTGAAAGACAAGTGGCTGCTGGTCTATAATATATATATACACACAGACACGAAAGAAAAAAAGGAAAAAACGGCTGCCATTATATGTATTCCACACGCCAACTGGAGGAGAGCGACGCCGTCTGTACGTGATATATATTGATACAAAAAAAGCAGCAGCTTGACGGAATTTGTTGGGGAGTTAAATTATATATATATATATATATATATATATATATAGAGACACACACACAACAAAGGCGGCTGCCGGTTTAATTATCTATATATACACAGCAGTGTGCAGCTGAAGGAGACACATACAACTTCCGGCAGATGGTTTATATTATGTTCACATATATAGGCGGCTAGAATTAAGGGAGAAAAATGGCAATCGGGCGCGAGGAATTCAAATACATTGAACACGGCAGCTAGAACATATACGTCTACGTGCACCCGGCTGGAATTGAAGTATATATCATACACACGCAGAATTGGGACAGCAGAACACAATTAACGGCCAACTATTTTGAAAAAGACAGCAACTTTCATCTGGATATTAATCACGTTCCGTCAAATTTTGGTGGTGTTGTTCCAGTTTTATGTATTTAATTCCAACATTATGTTATGCTAATCCCTCTCTTGTATTGGATGAAGATGAAATATTTGGTTATTTATTTTTTATTCAAGACACGTGGCTTAGTTAAATTCTTGTAATTCTTGATTAATCTTGTATGCTTAATTTTATTATTTGATTTTTTGACCACTAATTAAATAAATGGTTGCTTGTTGTAGTACTGGGAAGCTTACAATAAGTCTAGAACCCTGCTAGATTAACATGAGTGCAATAAATTTTAGAATTAATATTTATCACATGTGCGATCTTTGAAATAATGGTGAAATTTAATACGTTCTATTCATTCGAATTCGGATTAGGAATAGATTAGGATATAGATTTAATTTGTTTTAGAAAAAAGTTAATTACAATAGAATTATCGATTATCAAGAATACAAGTACGAAACTAGTTACGTAGTTAAGAATTGGAATAAATTATAGGGAAAATTGCAGTCGAGGTACCAAACATTTCGTTTATTAGCAAACGTTGCCCAAACCTTAATTTTGTACCATTCACAGTTCCAAACTTTTCAAAAATATGCACCGGAAGTCCAAATGGATGGAAACCATCCAATTAACCGTTAGTTGACCAAAACTTTTGATTTTGACCAAATTTGGTAAGGGCATTTACGTCAATCACATATTTAACCTTTTAAAAATAAAATTAAGCTAAAAACAAAAACAAAAAGAAATTTGCATCTTCATCTCTTTCACCCCTACCCTACCCCGACGGATCATTGGAAAATGGGTTTTCGGCGATCGCACTTAATTATTTTTCTTTTCCTCTTCCTCATTTTGTTCCTGTCTAATTCTTCCTCCTTTCACTTCCCCAAGAGACATAAAAAGCACAAAATTGATGGCCCCATCAAAACGATTGTAGTACTGGTAATGAAAAATCCCTCCTTTGATCACATGCTTGGATGGTTGAAAAGCAGTCGTCCAGATATCAATGGTCTTAGCGGATTCGAATTCAACTGGGTCAACGCCTTCGACTCTGGCTCTACTCCTGTATACGTTTCAGACGACGCATTTTTTATTGCGTCGGACTCGGGTCACTAAACTCAAGCTATCCGGGAACAGATATTTGGGTCAAATGACATGTCGTCAAACCCAACGCCGATGAACGATTTTGTGCAGCAGGCAAAGGCTATGGGGGTTGATGGATTGTCCAAAACCGTTATGAGTGGGTTCAAACTAGATCTGGTACCGGTTTATACTGAGTTGGTGAACGAGTTCACAGTCATGGATAGGTGGTTTGCCTCAGTGCCTGCTTCGACTCAGCCCAACAGTTTCTACGTCCACTCCGCCACCTCCCACGGCGCCTCAAGTAATGTTAGGAGTGATGGAGCTGTGTTGTCGAGGGTCTAATTTTCGGATGGGATTGGGGTGTGGGCAGGTGGGGTGGGGTGGGGTGGAGTGGAGTGCAGAAGACGCTGTTGATACTTGTTTTCATTATTTATTATTTTATTTTTATTATGTATTATATAATGGTTAAAATTACTATTTTAACCTTTTAAAATTGGTCAAAACTTGGTCAAAATCAAAAGTTTTGGTCAACTAACGGTTAATTGGATGGTTTCCATCCATTTGGACTCCTGGTGCATATTTTTGAAAGGTTTGAGACTGTGGATGGTACAAAATGAAGGTTTGGGCAAAGTCTACTAATAAACGAAAGATTTTGGTACCTCGATTGCAATTTTCCCTAAATTATAATAATAGGTGGATTCATAATCCAATACACTTTTCCCATATACGTATTAAATTCGAATTTTACAAGTTTTCATAGATTAAGTTAGGTTAATTTAGAATAATCACAAACTACAATCATTTTTTGTTTTGCTTACTCCGAATCCAATTAAAGACTAGTATACTCAATTAAATTTTATTTCTTATGGGACAATACTCTCAACTC